GTGACCCTGCTTCGGCAGGAGGGTTGGACTAGATGACCCACAGAGGTCCCTTCCAACCCCTACTATTCTGTGATTCTGTGATTCTGTGATTCTGTAAAGCTGGCTCCTTGCTCCCAGCTGGGATGGGGGAGATTACCGGTGTGTCCTCACTCACTGCTGATGCCGGCGTGAAACCCACCTGAGCACACCACGCTGGCATGCTTTCCGTGGCTGCAGCTGCTCTCTCCCCATGGGCTCGCCTGGCATTTCGTAAGGGTCAGCTCCGTCCCCTGGCAGTTCACGTTGTCCAGCCAGACACGCTGTGGCCCGGTGCCGAAGTCCGTCCCATCCAATGCCGGGAGCGGCCAGCTGCCGGCACACGACCTCAGCGTCCTGCTTATCCCAGCCGCGGTCACAGACGGCTCCCCACTCCTCCTGGTGAAGCACCTCGACTCTGCCAGCGCAGCGGTGCGAGCCGTTTGCCAGCTGGAGGTGAGCTGGCTCAGGGATGATCGCGTCTGCAAACACCCGAGAGAGTTATTAATGCCTTCAGACAGTCACCAGTTTCCCTCCATGCTTATCCTATTGCAGTTAAGCTCCCAGGCCCTCTTCAAGCTGCCAGAAGGCACAGAGGAGGGGAGAACAGGAGGGGTGAAACCCAAAACTCCTCCCAGGAACACCCTGCACCAGAGCATCTCCCTGCAGAGGTTGGTCCACGCTGGTCCTGCACCTTCCTCGGCCCCAGCCCCACTCCCTGCAAGAATTGCTTGCCAGGCAGGTTGCTTTCGATGTGCTTCCCCGCAATTTGATCCTGTTGTTGGAGCGGAAGGGTTCCCAGAGGGGAGGGAAATAGGGAGGATCCCTGTAGGAATGGCTCCCGCTGCCTTAAATAAACACCATGGGATGGGAATAGCAACCCTCTGATGGGAACATCAGGTGCAGGGAGGGTCCGGGACAACCCCACTGGCTGCTGATGCTGACCCCCAGAGACATGCTATCCTCCCCATCCATGTTGCGTGGAGCAACGCCAAAGAAGCATTGGTCACCTGAGCAAACCACACCAGCATCTTCCCCGTGGTAGCAATTATTGTTGCCCCACGGCCGGGCCCGGCAGGCAGACAGCGTGGTCTCCATCCCTGTACAGTTCGCCTCGTCCATCCAGATGATGCCTTCCCCGTGCCCGAACTGACCCCCCCCCGGAGCTGACAGCGCTCGCCCGCAGTCCAGCTGCCGGCAGACGACCTCGGCGTCCAGCAAGTCCCAGTTGTCATCGCACCAGCCGGACCTGGTCGCCCTCCGAGTTACCTAAAAGAGGGAAATATGGGGAAGAGCTGGCAGGCTGCGACTCCTGGGTAAGGAAAACTGCCCTGCCACCTTCTCAGGTCGCTGAGTGCTGCACCAAGTGCTGCAGGCTCAGCTAACCTCCATGAAAAGGTGCTGGCTGATCACCGTGCCTGCTGGCTAAGGGGCAAGAGCCTGCAAGCTGCACCGTGGCAGCATCCCACCCACTGGAATTGGCACTGACCCCTCCAGAAGGACAACCAAAATTTCTCCAGCTCCCTCAAGACACCTCATGACACCCCGTGATGGAAACACCCACGAAGGGGGGCACATTGTCCAGGGCTGCTTGTGGAGGTGGAAAATCAAGGTGATGGACCTAGACCCCCGTACTTCTTGTGCTGTGTCTCTCCTGAGGGGGTTACCTGCGCACACCACGCCAGCTTCTCTCCCATGGTGACAAGTGCTGTTGTCCCGGGGCTTCGCCTTGCATGCAGAGAGGGCAGTCTCCGTGCCCACGCAGCTCATGCTGTCAGGCCACATTTTCCCAGGTCCTTGCCCAAAATGCGATCCGCCGGGTGCTGACAGCGCTGTCCCACAGCCCAGCTGCCTGCACGCCACTCGAGCTTCAGCCAGACCCCAGCCCTCATCACACAGGGCTGCCCAGGTGCCATTGTGGGTGACCTCCACCCTGCCGTTGCAACGCGTTGAACCGTTGGCCAGGCGGACCTCGGTAGTCACCGACATCTCCGAAGCTGCCAATGGCACGCAAGAGTAAGTTCACAGGGAAAGCCATCGCTGCTTCTGCTCCAGGCTGAGCATCCTCCATGCATGGTAAGTGCCCAAAGTGAAGACCAAGTGCCTGCAATGCTCAGCATCCTCTTAAAAGTGAATTTTGAGGAGTGGCTTTGCAAAGAGGCTTTACTGCAAAGTCACCTTATTGCAAGGGTACTTCACTGCAAAGGCACCTTATTGGAAAGGCACTTTCTTGCTCCCTGCTGTGAAGCTCAGATAAAAAAGCTGATCTACACACTCCATGAAAAGCCCTGAAGCATGGGTCGTGGGCAAGACAGACCTGGCCTGGTTGGATGGGCAGGAACTTGGGAGGGTGAGTTATGGCTGTGGAAAGCTTTGCATAGTACAACCTAGTTGCCCCCAGGGCAAACGAGATTTTGGGGTAGGTCCCTGGTGACTCGTGCATAATTGGCTGTTCCTGCAGCTTAGCACTGGATTCACAGCAGCAGGAGGTGGGTGAAGGATTTGCAGGGTGACTTGCCCACCTGCGTGCTGCAGGTTCTCCCTAGTGCTGCAAAGGGGGTGCCGCGGGTGAGCACCCTTGGAGGGGATGCAGGAGCCGTCCCACGACCCCTTAGGAAACCCCGAAAGTCTGATGTTGACCCTTCTTGCACCTTGAGGTGAGCGTTACCTGAACATATCACTCCAGCATCCTCCCCGTGGAAGCAGTTGTTGACCCCCCACGCACTGGCCCGGCAGTCAGAAAGGGTGTCCTCAGTGCCGGTGCAGTTCACCTCGTCCAACCAGATGGGATCGTGGCCCCTACCGAAGCGAGCTCCTCTGGTGGCTGACAGCGCCGTGCCACAGCCAAGTTGCCGGCACACCACCGCCGCATCCGTCAGGTCCCAGCCGTCGTCGCAGATCGTCCCCCACATGTGGTTGTGGAGCACCTCCACCCTCCCGGCGCAGCGGTTGGGGCCGTTGACCAGCTGGAGGGTGCCCAGGGCTGTGATGCTGGATTCTGCAAGTACCCCAAAGGGAACAGCTGGAGAACAGTTGTGCATCACCGCTGGTACAGCAGGGAGGGATCCAGGGGTGGAGGGGATGCACAGCTGGATTGCCGCCATCCCAAGCTACCTGAGCACTCAACGCTGGCGTCCTCCACATGGTGACAGTTGTGTTCTCCCCACGGCCTGGCTCGGCAGGTCCCTTTCCTCCCCGGTGCAGTTGACCTCATCCAACCAGATCTGACCTGTCCCTTCTCCGTAGCGAGTTCCCGGTGCCACCGACAGCAACGTACCACACTCCAGCTGCCGGCACACAACCCGGCCCTCGGGGGAGCCCCAGCCATCGTCACACACTGTCCCCCACGTCCCATTGTGGAATACCTCTACCCGCCCGGCGCAGCGGCCGGGGCCTCCTGCCAGACGAAGGAACCCTCCTGGGCTCTCAGCGGCTGTGCCTGCAAAGCCGGGAGGGGAAAGAGGAGGAGAGGTGAAATCCTGGGGGTGCACGGGGCTCAGCTACTCACACGTTTGAAATGTCTCCTGCCCCCCAAAAAGGGTTTACGAGGTGGTGTTGACCATCCCACACCTGCTTTGGCCTTCTCAGATGGCCCTGGGCATCTGTTTGTAGGTAACTGAGCTCCATCTCTGCATCTAAATGCCTGAACTTAACTTCAGTGTGGATCCCACACCCTAGGAGCCCTTTTCTTGCTCATGCAATAGGCAGAAAAAATGGATATTTGAGCTTATGCATGTTTTTGTACAAGCGGCCAGCAGCAAAGATGTAGCTTCACCATCAAGAGCGGGTAATGCCTTGGGGTCCAGCTGTGTGGCAAGCTTGCAAGAACGAGTGGAAAAGTGCTTGAACTTAGAGTCTTGGCAGCTTGCAAGACCCATGGGGTGAGATTGCCCCTGGTGCCAGAGGCACGCTTTTGCAAGAGCACTAACTGAAGGGAGACCACGCAGAAAGGAGCCGTAACTGGACATTAGTCACACGGAGAGCTCAACGGGGTCAGCAGAAAAAAAAAGTTCAGGAGGGATATGATTGCGTTGTGTAAATAAGCTTTTTGACCGTGGATAACGATTTCCGAAGTGCCGAGGTACTGATCTGTGTGTGGTCTGACTACCACCAAGCAAGCGGCCAGACGTAGCACTTGGGAAGTCAGCGGGACCAGAAAGCGGATGAAACGGGTTAAAAATCCAATCCCCTAGTCATTCAAACACGAGCAGCATCTGGACAGCTGTGGCAGACTGGGTGCAGGCATGCGTAGCTCAGCTCTTTTATTCGGGCTGCGCAGCGGGGAGCGGGAAAGCATCTTTGCCATAAAGTGTCTTTCTTTGCAAGAAAGCGCTTTTGCGAAGCCGCCCCTCAGAATTCACTTCTACGAGGAGGCTGAACCAGATGCATTGAGGGCACTTGGTCTCCAGTTTGCAAGCTGTCCCCGGGCTAAAAGCACAGTCCTGAAGATGGCTGGCTCTTCTGTCTTGTCCTTTCCCTGCTTTCCCCATGCGCTTTTTGCTCTGCTTCCTTATTTTTACTGGGACCAGTGAGGCTACCCTGTGATAAACAGTAAATCAGCTCTGCAGCTGAGACTTAGCAGAGCTGGTATATTCCTTGGCATGTTTCTTGCAAGCACTGCCCAGCTGCGTGTGCATTGACCATGGACAAGTCCCAGCCCAGATGTCTGCAGCCAGCCAGGAGATACTGACTGTTGAAGCGGCAAGCACCATACTGAAATTTCCAGGAGCAGGATTTAAAAGCCTTTAATTATGGGGCACAAGCCTTTGATTATGGGGTGAAACCACGTGTGCAAAGGTAGACCTGCAATGCATGGCTTTTGGAGCGTAGCAGAGATAGATGAGCTCCCAGCTTCACATAAAAAAAACTTTCACCCGCCTCCAAAGCCATCACAAGCCATTCCCCCCCCTGCCCCAGACCCCCGAGTGAAACTCAGGACCGCTGGCCAGCCTCTGCTGTGCTCCACAAAGTGCTAGCTGAGCAGGCTGGAGGAGCAGATGTGGCTGATGGGCTCCCTGCGGTCAGTGAGGCGAATGCCACTCACCCCAAAGGCACGCCATCAGGAGGAGGGTCCCCACGCTCTTGGCCCCACGGTGAGTGGGTTGGTTTCTGTCCCTGGGACAGCTGGATGAGGGATGGAGACTGCCTGGTATCCCCATGTTCACAGCCTGGCCACACGCTGGAGGCTGGAGCGGACTGTCCTTGTGAGAGACACCAGCTGAGCCCGGTGTCCCACTGGCCAACTGGGAGGGCAAACTGGGATTTCTGCAGTGATCCCTCCTCTTCCTCCGCCCTGCTCCCCTCTGGGAGGTTCACCTCCTGTGAAGCTCTGCCAGGAGGTGACCTGCTGCCCCTTGCAGCCGCCAGTCTTGTCATCGGCTTGCGAAACAGCAAGCTGTTCCACGAAAACATGGAGCAAACAAAACCCTCTCGACACTCAGGTCCTGTCTCGTACGTGCCAGCCCCTGCAGGCACCTCGGCTGCCACGACGCATTCTGGTACAAGATATTCACTTTTGACAAGCTAAATCAAGCCTTTAGGCACAGAACTGGGGAAACACAGCTTCATTACAAAGTGTCTGGTTGGGTTTTGTGGGGGTGAGGGACCACCTGCTGCAAGAAAATAGGTTACTAAAGGCTGGAGATGGCTTAACTGTGGATGCTGGAGCCAGTGCCTGCACTGTAGCCATTTGCCATTGGGCGAGCCTGGACACTATCCGTGATGAGAAAATGTCTCACACCCAGCTCATGATGCTTTGAATGGCTTCGTTGGGTTTGGAAAACAAGGGGAAACTGATTTTTGTTACCCTGCTGTGGCTGCACTTGCAAGACCCCAAGGGTCCCTTTTGGATTAGCAGTTTGCTTCCCGACTGCTGTTATGCAGATAATACTCCAGGCATGGCCCTTGCAAATCACTGCCAAGAGATGCCAAGAGGAAGGATGGGAGATTTTGCTCTCCTCCTATGCCTTTGTGGTGGCATGCTGAAGTTGTGCAAGGAGAGGGCTCGTAACCAGAGCAACATGCCGCTGGAAAAAAAAGGGTCATCAAATCAACATCACTCATCGCTGTGAGTGGGAGGGTTCAGACAAAGTTGGGTGTTGTGCTGGTGGTGCATTGAAAATGGGGCTTGCATTGGGCAAGGGTGTGACCCCTGCCAGAAACAGGGCGGAAGGTTCTGCCCGTGTCTGTGCGAAAATAAGAAGCAAAACTGGAGCATGTAATGGACAGCGTGGCCAGGAAGGTCTCAGGCTGAGTTTAACCTGTTCACCCTGGCAAAACCTGAGATGTAGTAGTGTGGAGAGTAGATTGCTGCCTATAGGAAGATCAAACAGGTGAAACCCAGGCCCCAGAGGCTTGCAGAGCTAGGGCTGAAGAGCAAAAGGAAAAAAAGGTGTACTAAACAAAGGTGCAAGAATGAGCAGGTGAAAATTAGGCTAGAAATGAGTCAAAACTCATCTCATAAAAGGTAGAGCAGTGGGGAAAGGTGAGTATCTTCATTTGTACCAAGGCTCAGTGAGCCAAGGACTTTGTTCCTCTTCTTTGCAAACAAACAGACCAGCAGCAAAGAGATTCCTGACACTGACCGGCACAGAAGTGCCGTGAACTGTCGTAGCCCGACGTGACCAATGCAGCTCTGGGCAAGGGTGTTGCTGCTGGGGCTGTTTTCATAGTTTGGACAAACAGCCGCTCTGGAAGTGAGCCATGTCCTACGTCCCTTCTGCTCCTTTTGAACTTGGGTGTTGTGTCTGTCTGGGAAGTCTGAAAAAAACCCGTCTTGGGAAACCGCAGTCCCTGCAAAGTAACCCATGGCCTGAGCTGGGATCTAGCAGGTGCTGGTCCTGCGTTTTGGAGCCATAAAGAGCTCCAGCTCATCCCAGCCTTATCACAAAGACCTTCTCCAAAAGGTGTATGTACTTTATTGCATAAAACTGGGTCCACGCTCATGTTTTCCCCTATTCTGAGGACACTCTACCCAGAGCTAGAAGGAGCCCTGGGCCTTTGATGTAAACTTTGGGGCAGGCAAGGCTGGAGGACCAGGTCTGCTAGGGCAGCCAGCAGGAAAATGAGAAGACTTGAGTGCTAGCAGGAGGATGAGAAACCCTGAAGTCCCAGGAGTGATGGATGTCCATGGAAGAGCAGAAAATGACCTTATGGCTGTGTGTTGACAAGAGATACCCAGCCAGGGAGGCTGTATGGCTTAGGAGAAGTAGCAAGACGCAAAGTGGTCACAGCTGCCAGCCGCTCTCTGGGAGGGAAGGAGAGGTGGGAGGCTGGACTTGAAGGGCATTAAAATACATGCCATGACTCTTTCATCATGCACGTCTTCTTCCTGTTGCCTCTTGCCTTGACTCTCCTCTTCCATGCCCTTGTGTGGAGATTAGCTCGGCTCACAAGGCACACCCAACCTGGTCAAGCTTTGGTCCCTTCATTCCTTCCACATGGCACTGGGTCATTCCTCTGACCATGGCCACTCCTGGCTTCACCGAAGCAGTGGACGTTTTGGGGCTCAGACCTGACTCCATGGGTTGCTCCATTAGGAACGTGACCCTTCCTTGTTGGTAGCCAGGACAATATCTCACCCAGCGTTAGCAATCTTGAGTCTGCTGTATCCAACCCGATCATCTACAATGCCTCGATAACCCAGAGGCCTCTTCTTCCACCACTTCCACCTCGCTGAGTCCCTCCGTATCCCTCAGTCTGTATAATGCTGCATTCTCGTTCATTTGGGTTTTAAGGTTTTTACTGGTATTCAAAAGTGGATACAATAAATACAATAGGTGAGGGACTTCTCACCCCGTTGTGGATGGGCTTTTAAGTGCACCCCTCATTTTGCAAAGGTGGTTGTGTAGAGCACAGGAGAGCGCCCTGCTTGCTTGCCCCTGGATCAGGAAGTAATCCTCACTTCCATGGGGAAAATGTATAAACCCCTTGGGAATGCGGTGAGGGTGGTGGCATTGGGTGCCACGGCAGATGACTCTGCAGGGCGTTATTGGGATGATAGGGGGCTATAGGGCTGGGAATGGGGATTATAGCAGTTATAGGGCTGCGAATAAGAGAATTCTGTGCAGATTGGGTTAGGATGCTGGAGCCTATCCGGAGGACCAAGACAGGGCTTATTCTGAGAAGATCTTGCTTGGACACTGAGGGACTTTGTGATGCTGCATGGAGGAACTGGGACCCACAGAGGCTCAGTGCAGTGAGGTGGGGCTATGGGGCACACAGGGAAGGGGTCTCTGCTCTGCCAGAGGGGTTCTCTCTGCTGACCATTGCAGCGGCTGCTCCGCTTGTCTGGCTCCACACAACGGGGTCTTCTGGGGTCCTGAGGGAGCCTTGCCTTCGACACCAGGAGCGTGGCCGCCTAAGCCTCGGATGACGTCCCATCATCCTCTGTCTTCTTTATAAGTGGCTTTTCTGCCAAAAGAAAGAGGAGGGGGGTGGTGGGAAGGGTGACGTCCCATCATCCTCTGTCTTCTTTATAAGTGGCTTGTCTGCAAAATGAAGGAGCAGGGTGATGTAGGGAAGGTGCAATCCCCAGCCCCAAGTTGGCATGCATCCATGCCAGCCAGGGGTGCAGCCAGCTCCACAAGCAGTCCAGTTGCACCACGTGCTGTGGTCCTGCTCTTACCCGGGAAGTGTCCAGCCCGTCTTCCATACCTCGTGCACAGGTACAGGACCAACAGGGTCCCGCAGAGCATTGCCGCCGTGCCAAGCAGGCCTGCCAGCACCGAGCAGGACTGTACGTGGTCTGTGGGAAGAGTGAAGCTCAGAGGGGGTTGGTTGGATGGCCTGACCCTCTCTGCCCCTCTCACCCTTCTCTTCTGCTGCATGTTTTTGGGGACTTGCAACATACTCCCTCACTGTCCTCCTGGGTGCTGGGGCTGATCCTCATCAGCAGGAGTGACAGCTCACCCTCTGCTTCGGGAAGATGGGTTCATGGACACCCCCCATTGGGCTGATGCAAACAGAGAGTGTCCACCAGGGATGCTCAGATCCCCGTGTCCGCCGAGATGCCTTCACTGAGTTGGTCCCACTCCACTGCCTTACAGCCGCTGCCTTCAGGTGCCTCTGTCCTTCCCACCTAAACTCTCCTGGCAAAAAGGTTTATGACAACGCTGCTGCCTGCCTGGGAGGAGGCCAAGACTGGGATGGAGATAGGAACCTTTACCCAACCATATGTCTGCACCAGGTTGGCCCCGAGGCAGACAAAGCAGATGATGGGGGATCCTGGCACTCACCTTCCTTCTCTGTGCACACCACGCTGGCTGCCGAGCCCTGACTGCACGGCCCTGGACCCATCTCTCTCTGCTGGCACTCCAGGAGCAGATTCTCGGTTCCCCGGCAGCTCAGCCCCTCCAGCAAGGCACGGCCGTTCCCATGGCTGAGATGGGCTCCGATGGGTGCTGACTGGGCTGGCCCACAGCCCAGCTGCTTGCAGACCACCCCTGCTTCCAGCAAGCTCCAGCCGCTGCTGCACACCCCGTACCAGGTTGCGTTGTAGAGCACCTCCACCCTCCCTGCACAGGGACCAGGACCATCTTTCAACCGCAGCTGCAAGGGGTTTGTGCCTGCAAGGAAGAGCGCAAGGCGATGAGTTGGGCCCTCTGACCCCATACAGTGATGAGAGCTTCTGACTTGTTCCCAGGCATTTTTTTCTGGTGTGTTGCTGAAGGCAAGATACCAGCACCCACAACCAGCTACAAGGCACGGATTGCCTTACTCCATCCCCTTGTACAAGATGCCTTAATAAGCAACGTCACTACAGGGCCGGTACCCGTGAGATGGGGCTCACTGGAGACCCACACCCACCTCCCCGGTGGCAGTGGGCTGCTGTGTCTAGGAAAGGTGCATCTGGATTATTTTATTTTTAAACAAGGCTTTGCCCATTACAGGATGCTGTCATTGATGAGCTGGAGGGACACAGTCTAGATTAAATCAATATTAGTTACGTGCACAATTCCTATCCAAGGCAGGGTGGCATTTTTGCTCAACTCCAAGCCAAGTGGCTGGGTGAAAGCTGATTTCTGCTCTGATGCTGGGGATGGGAAAGAATGAGCAGAAAGGAAGAAAGCCTAGCACAGCCCTGGTGTAGAACAGCAGCTCCAGCATCCATCAAGGCCGCCCTTGGATGGACACCAACCACCCTGGCTCACCCGCCCCAGTCCCTGCAGCCTGGTGCTACCTGAGCACACCACACCAGCATCCTCGCTGTGGCCGCAGTTGTGCTCTCCCCAGTTGCTCAGCTCACACTCAGTGAGGGAGGACTCGGTCCCCGTGCAGTGAACACCGTCCAGCCAGATGGGATCCAACCCTGGTCCGAAATGAGCCGAGCTCGGTGCTGTCAGCGCTATCCCACAGCCCAGCTGCCTGCACACGACGGCAGCGTCGTTGAGGTCCCAGGTGTCGTCACACACAGTCCCCCACTTCTGGTCGTGAAGGACCTCGACTCTCCCTAGGCAGCTGCTTGAGCCGTCCCCCAGCCGCAGCAGGCGCTGCCCCGAAGTGTCCGCGTCTGTGAAGGGAGCAAGGACCATGTTCACGCCTGACTGTCATCCACGGCTCCAGCTGGACTTTGCAACATGCTAAGCTGTGGTAAAATCAGAGCATCCTTTGGTGCGTGCAGCCTCTGGCTGCCTGGGAAATGTGCTACACCATCAGGGCTGGCTTGGGATTTGCTTTGGAGGTTTCCAGAGCTTGATGCTTGGAGCTTGGGATTTGCTTTGGAGGTTGTAGCTCCAGAGCTTGGGGCTTGGAGCTTGGGATTTGATTTGGAGGTTTTAGCTCCAGAGCTTGGGACTTGGGGCCTGACAAAGGGTCCTGGGGTCAACAGTGACTATGGGAGGGTCCTGGGGTCAGTAGTGACTATGGGAGCTGGTAGGAGCTCTGCCTGATGAATTTGTGTAGCTAGAGCTATTGGAAAGGGGGGAAGTAGGAGAAGGGCTTGGTCTTCCTACACAAAATCATCCTAACAGCACACTGGCATCTCAGCCTGCGCTGACCCGGGGAAGAGCATCACCCACTGTGGCATTCATACCCTTCTCTCAATTTAATATTATTTTTTTAAAACCAGGGTGGGGTGAAGGCGCCCATCTCTGGGTACCTGGGATGTGATTGAGCTGATCCTGCACCCCAACCCACATGGTACTAATCCTGATTAACGTGGATCACCTGAGCAAACCACGCCAGCATCTGCCCGGTGGTCACAGCTGTTGGATCCCCATGGCCTGGCCTGGCATTCGGAGAGGGCGTCTTCTGTCCCCGTGCAGTTCACGTTATCCAGCCAGATGCGACCGGACCCTTGCCCGAAGTGAGCCGAGCCCGGGGCTGAGACGGCCGTCCCGCAGCCCAGCTGCCCGGCCTTCGGCCATGCTCCAGCTGTTGTCGCACACCGTCCCCCACTGATGGTGGTGGAGCACCTCCACGCGCCCCGCGCAGCGGCCAGGGCCGTTCTCCAGGCGCAGACGAGCTGGTGTGTTGGTGGCTGTGCCTGATCATGACAGAAGACACGAGGGGACCATCAGACCAGGTCTGACGTCTGAGGTCCCCCAAGGTGCCTCTTCTTGCCACCATGGTGACACCCACGCTGAAGGATGCTCCCCTGTGTTTTGCACAGGGAGGTTCCTGTGCCCACACAGAGCTGTTGAGGAATATCTCAAGATTGGGGCTGGTTCCTGTCCCCACACAGAGCTGTTGAGGAATATCTCAAGACTGGGGCTAAGCATCTCAGGTGTGGGCAAAGCCAGCTGTGCAACCTCAGAGCCTGTGCATGTTGAACGTGAGCACAAGCAAACCATAAATGGCTGCAATGTTTATTTCATTCCTCCTGGGCGGCCGTTCATGAACCCTTCACATGGCCCCAGCAGCCCCTGAAGGGAGAGACTTTCTGCAGACCCCTGTTGCCACGGCCCCTGCTTCAAAAAGGGTTCAGCCCCCCCGACCCTGTCTTTGTACAGCCTGTGGGCTACTGGTCCCCATAGTGTGGTGGGTTGGGACTTTGCTAGGAGCATCTAGCACCCAGTCCGGTGCTTCCCCTCTCTCCTTGGTGCCCATGCGAGTGCACTTTTTGCATGTTGCCCAAAGGGCATCGTTCCCTTCCTATTATCCCTCTTGCTCCTCCTTTCATGGACCTGTGTGCTAAAGAGTGCCAGCATGGCATGTTGTAGGAGATGAGACAAAGGCGGCAAGGTGACCCAGCGAGGTGTCTGCTGCCCAGCCCTTGGCTGCAACTGTGGAACTGCTACAAATTCCCAAAACAGAGCATCCTCCACTGAACTTCTGCCGCAAGTCCGCTGTTACCTGTGCGCACGACGCTGGCGTCCTCTGCATGGTCGCAGTTGTTGACACCCCAAGGTCTGGCCAGGCATTCGGAGAGAGCAGCTTCAGTCCCACTGCACTGAACGTTGTCCAGCCAAATGGGGCCTGATCCCTGGCCAAAGTGAGCTGCGCTGTAGGCTGAGACCGCTGTCCCACAGCCCAGCTGCCGGCACACCACACTGGCATCGGGGAAGCTCCAGTCATCGTCGCACACGGTTCCCCACTGGTGGTCGTGCATCACCTCTACTCTTCCAGAGCAGCGGTTTGGGCCATTCACCAGGCGAAGCTCTGCAGGACTGGTGTGGCTGGCCATAGGGTGACTGGATGAGTCTACGGAGGGCACGAGAGGTGGACCATGAAAGCCCCCTTGCCTCTCATTTCTGCAGGACCATTCTGCACTCCACCAAGGTTGCTGGCTGTGCCCAGTCACTACCAACACGCAGCCACCTCAGGACTTGGATGGGGGTGACATGACATAGTCCCAGCAACCCATGGTCTTTCCAGCTGTAGCTGGAGATCCTGAGGATGCTGGGACAGGAGGAGGAGAGAAGCTTTTTTTCCTGGTGTTCATGGGACACCACATCCCCTTTGCAGGTGACAACCGAGGGGGGTCAGCACACCTGTGTGCCAATGTCCGTTGGGACAATTCTGGCAGAGGTGTCTCCAGCATCTACCAATTGCCATGAGCACCTGCAGCTCGATCAGCCACCAAAGCTCCAAGCTTTTGGAGCTCCAGGCTTTTGGAGCCCCACAGTTTGTGGCCATAAAACAGTGTTCTCTAGCTGATCAGGGGCCAGATCTGTGGCTCGCCAGAGGCAAGTGCATGGAAACCATTCTGTCCCTCATGTTGGTGATGGGGAGGAGGAATCTGGGTGTCTCCTCCTGGCCCCTCTCTCCCCTGCCTAAGGCTGTGTCTTACGGTGCCTGCCTGCAAAACACAACCAGTCTCTAGCCATGCCTGTGTCCCTAAAACATGCAGCCAAAGCAAGGCATGTGGGGTCCGGCTCACCACGGAGGTATGTGATGTGCAAGGGGTCCCTACGCCTTCCCCACAGGTGGTTCAGCATCTCAGGAAGCTGGAGTTAGCGCAGGTAGCATTTCCAAGCCTGCTTCCCAAATTGGTGGCCAGCAGGACGAGGGAGGTTCTCCTTCCCCTCTACACTGCCCTGGTGAGGCCTCATCTGGAGTACTCTGTCCAGTTCTGGGCTCCCCAGTTCAAGAAAGATGAAGAGCTACTGGAGAGAGTCCAG